AACTCACTCAGACTTTAGCTCTTTCCTCCCCTTTTCTCATCTGTTTTTGGTATCAGGTGATATCTTTATGAGTTTGGAGGTGTTTATTCCCTATTTTTCTTGGAATAACCTCAATGGCATTGGTGTCTGTTCTTTAAACAGCCTGGGGGAATTCATCAGTGGATCTTTCTGGTTGTGGACTTGTGGGTTATTTTATTAGTTTGTCTTATTGATCATTATCATTCTGTTCAATGATTTCTGCATCTTCCTAAGTCAATTGTGAATAGAGTTGTCTAGGAATATATTAATCTCCCATAAGTTTTCAAATTTACTAGAGTATGATGTTGGAAAGACTCCTACTGATCTGGATCTCAGTGTTACCTGCTGTAATATCACCTATTGGTCACTATATTGATTAGTTTAATGTCCCTTCCTTTTTCACCAGTTTTGTGAAAAGTCTGCCAATTTTATATATCCTTTCAAAGAAGAGCCCTTTGCTTCATTGATCTGTTACATTATTTTCCATTTCATTAATTTTGTTTTTGACCTTTTTCCTTCTATTAATTTTGAGGTTGGCTTGCTTTTGTTCTTTTAAGGACTTCAGGTATATTGAGAGGTTTTTTTTTTTTTTGAGATCTTTTTTAACATTTATTTGTGTAGGCTTGGCATATGTCATGTTATACATGTAGAAGTCAGAAGACCGTTTTAGACATGGGTTCTTTCCTTCCACACTGTGGATCCTGGAGCTCAAACACATGTCTTCAGCCTTGCTGGCAGTCACCTTTACCCACTGAGCCATCTCATCAGCCCCTCTCTGACTTATTAAGTTTCCACAGCTATAAACTTCCAAGAAGCACTTCCATTGCATCCCACAGGCTCTGATGTGTCTGTTCTCACTTTCATTTGAGTGTATAAATATCTGATTTTACAAAATATTCAGGAAGAAACTCTTTCATATTTAGAGTACCCATTTGACATCCCTATGTGTGATATGAGGAATGGTTGTAAATGGTTAGCCGGGTCCTACTTAGTAAGCTTTACCACAGTATAATTTGAAAATTCACCTTTCTGGAATATACTTTTTGAAATGGAGTCTAGTTTTACTGCTACGTTACACGAGCTATTCACGTGCCATAGACAGATGCTTAGGGGGTACTTCAATACTGAGAAGGGCGAGTCCTCCTGAAATACCTCTGAGCAGCGATTCTGCAGCAATGTGTATGTTACCTGTTAAATCTTTCCATATGAATTATAAGATTAATTTAGAGTCTGTATCAACACAAAACACACACACACACAGAGGAACTCTTGTCAGGTTGAATTACATATTATTACAGTTTGTGAGACATGCCCATTACCCTCAGTCAGTCTAACCAAGAAGGGAGATACTTTTTCATTGGCCGACCTTGTTGTTCCTATATATGTTCTGTAGGTCTTTTCTTACTGGCCTAGAACATTCTGTATTAATATCACTCCTAAATATTTTGTCTTAATCTAGTGTTACCAAAGTTGGAGATGCCAATCAATTGGATAACATGATTCCCTTGTGAAAATTATTACCAGACAATCCAGTCAATAACAGCTATTTGAGGTGCTGGGGTTATAGCTCAACTGTGGAATTGTTTGCCAGCATACTCGAGATACTGGCTTCAATCCCCAGCACTGTGAAAACAAAAGCAAGCAAACAAAAATTCATTTTGTGTTCGGAGATGTTGGGAGCCAGGCTTATTGAATTCCAGTTCAGACACGGTTAGCACTAAAGAACATGTGTTGATTTTTTTTCTTTCCCACAGTGGAGTAGATGTAGCTGCATGACTCTTTCCATGACACCCTAGTGTTTATTTCTCGTGTGGTTTCCTATCAACCCAAGCAAGTCTTGCTGTTTGGGTCACCAAGATCGTGTAGTTTCATATGTATCTAGGTGCTATAACAAAAACAAACAAATCAGATTCTGGGTTTTTTTTTTTTTTGTTTTTAATATCTCCATTTTCAGTGAATAGACAAAAACAAAACCTTGCATTTGCCAGGCAGTGATGGCGCATGCCTTTAATCCCAGCACTTGGGAGGCAGAGGCAGGCGGATTTCTGAGTTCGAGGCCAGCCTGGTCTACATAGTGAGTTCCAGGACAGCCAGGGCTACACAGAGAAACCCTGTCTCAAAAAAACAAAAACAAAACAAAACAAAACAAAAAAAAACCTTGCCTTTATGGTATGGCCCTGAGGTAAATCGGGGCAGTTTAAGAGCATGGACGGCTCTTTCAGAAAACTCGAGTCCAGTTCTCAACACTCACTTTAGACAGTTCACAACTGTTTATAACTTCACTTTGGGAAATCCAATGCCCTCTTCAGGCCTCCAGACATACGTGCACAACACATACACACACACACACACACACACACAGAGAGAGAGAGAGAGAGAGAGAGAGAGAGACAGAGAGAGACAGAGAGACAGAGAGACAGAGAGACAGAGAGAGACAGAGAGAGACAGAGACAGAGAGAGACAGAGAAATCTTAGAAAAACAGAGGAGTGTACAGCAGTGTGGCGAAGGATAACTAATACTAAAGACTTTTTTAAACGCCGTATGGAAACTTACTACTGTAGAAGCTTCCTAAGTTATACCATTGGCTATCAAAAAGTTCAGGGCCAGGCATGGGTTACCTGGAGTTCTTAGTCAGTGAGGTAGCATCAACAGCCACCCTGTCAAAAAGATACATTATTGTTAGCATTGTTCTTGGCTGTTCAGAACTCGGTAGCAAGACCCTTGAAGACACCATCTACCTGTGTCACAGAACAGGGGGAAACTAAGCTGATACCGATATGGAAGTTTCACCCCCTACTACATAACACTAGAAAGTTCTATCCATACTATCAGGGGAGAAAAACCACCAACAGTCTTACCTAAGTGTGAACCCTGGAAGCTGCCATATTTGACTGACCTGGCAAGATATCCAAGTCTGGCATGAATGTCATGGAAGTAACCGAACCACATAAAGTCCACTCTACAAGATGGGACCCGTGACTGGCACCATTAGCTGTGTCAAAAACATGTCATTGGCTAAGTCACTGGCCTTAGGGGAGAACCTATTACTAAGCTTCTAAATGGACCCAGTGATACACTTTAGGCCCTGATTTCTTACCTTTATACCTATGTATTAGTGCGTTGCTCAACCCTCATCAGAGAATAATCTTAATGCCGTAGGTGGAAATTAACGTGGAGACCCGCATAGAAGAGGGAAGTAGAGATTATAAGAGCCGGAGGGAGGAGATATCAGGAACAAAATAATGTTTGCCAGACATGACAACGCAGCTGCACACATGAACTCACAGCTATGGAACTGTACGCACAAGACTTTAAACAAGGAAAGCCTAAATCCAGCATGGATGGAGAAAGGGCTTTAAAAAAAAAAAAAGTCCCACCTCTATCTGAGGAGTTACTGGCAACTGCTGGGTACTGAGAGAGGGTGTGTGTCCTGGGAGGCAACTCTTGTCCCAGTAGATGGCCCCACATCCACGCACATGCAGGCAGCACTAAACGGACTCAATGGGTGTGATGATTTGAATGAGAAGTGTACCCCATTATCTTGGGCATTTGAACACTTGGTCCCCATTCGTTGGTACTGTTTGGGGAGGTTCGGGAGGTCCAGCCTTGCTGGAGAAGTGTGTAATTAGGGGTGAGCTTTGAGAGTGAAGAGCCTCTCTTTCTTGTGCTGTATACCCCATGCTTATAATAAACCATGCACTCTCAGCATCCTGCCCAGCACCATGCTTTCCTCTCATTGCGATGCCTCCACCGTGCCATCATCAACTCTTAATCCATCTGGAGCCACAACACAAACTCTCTTCCTTAGGCTCCCTTCAACAGGGGTGTCTTATCACAGCAGCAGCAAAGTAACTAGAACCGTGGTTGTTAAGAAGGAAAGCTTGCCAGGTTGGGGGTGGGGGGAGGGACCAGAAAGGAGGGGATAGGGCGAATTTGATCAAAATGGCTGAGGTGATAGACACATATGCTAGAGTCCATGTCTGTTTCTCAAGTGAAAACTTTTAAACCCCTGATGCGAGATGACTCCATGCCACAAATATACATGTATACACATTCATGCACACATGTCACTTTCAGTTGACGCTACTTGAGAAGCTGAGGCAAAGGGGCTTTGAAGTAAATGTGTTAAGGTGGCCCCATCCCCAGGTGTCCTAGCCACCCCTGCTTAGGCTAACCAGATTATCACTCAAGTCTGGACATCTCCAGGTACACAGTGGGGCCAGTGATACCCATTTACCATTCTTTCACGCATTCCCCTGCCAAGACTCTGACTCCTCCAAACCGAAATCCCTTTTGTTTCATTCTGGGGAAACCTCTCCAGAGCCAGTAAATGTTTCCAATTCTGGAGAGACGGATCCTATGGTGAATGTATGACATCAAAAGGGCCAGGCTGGGGCCAATCCTAGAGTATGTGTTTGTCACGATTAGGAGCACTGGGCTCTGAACACTAGAGAAAATGGGCTAAAGCAGCATTGTCTTGGGCTAGACGCAAAGCTGAGTGACCTTATCCTTAACTCCTAGCTGGAGGACTAAGGAAGGTTGTAACTGAAGGGGGTGGGACACCTTGGGCTGGACCACCGGTTAAAAAGATAAACCTGTGGGGTGCACACAGGATAAAAAGTCCCAGGTCGGGCAGCAGTAGTGCATGCCTCTAATCCCAACACTCGGGAGGGAGAAGCAGGTGGACCTCCAAGTTCAGGACAGCCTGGTCTACCTAATGAGTTCCAAGACAGGGCTACAGAGAGAAACCCTGTCTCAAAGAAAAACAACTACAAAAGCCCTTCAGTCTGTATTAAGGAGGCAGAGTATGTGGCATGTAGCCCTCTCATCACGGATACCGGAGAACCTTCCTCAGCAAGTGAGGTTCAGAACAATATTAAAGACACAGAATCCAGAATAAAGGTGTAGCATAAATCCTCCATGGCTCCCAAGAGGTTCAACACCCCGGACTTCTCCACAGTGGGTCACAACGCAGTCCATATCTGGGTGCGCAGCTTTGCAGAGAACCAGTTTATTTAAAGGAAAGATAAAGTACAGAATGCTGCTATCTATCAACAACCTCGTGATGGATGAGAAAATTCAACTTCCCTTCTTCCCCATCAGAAAAGCAGGGCATTTACTAGTTAGTGGTTTCTGTCACTGTGTAGGAAGAAAATGAATGGTCAAGAACACTTCTTATGGCCGGAGCTGGTGGCTAGTCACAACTGTGGAGACATAGTATGAATACTGTTGTATTGAACTTCGTGCTGCTCCAAGCTCAATTCGCATGTTAGAGCTCCGATGATCTGTCTTTGTAGAACATTTAAAGAGGTCCAGAAATGTGTAAGGTCTGAACCTAATCCTATATGAACGGTCATAAGGCTGGAAAGGTTGGGTACGGTCACACATACTTGTAAATCCAGCATAGGGGAGAACAGGTACAAGCCAGATTCAAGGCCAGTCTTGGCTACATGGTCAGGTCAGGACCTTTCTGTGCTACAGGAGACACCGTCTCAAAAAAATGAAGGTCGGAACGTATGGGGTTGTGGGGAAGAATGGGGAAAGGAAGAAAAGCAACCAGCAAAGTACTATGGTAGCCCTAGTTAATACAGATTTTAGAACCACACGTGAAGTGTTATAACAAGCCTAAAAACGTGTCAGTGGCTTGGAGTTGGATAGTACGTAGAGGCTAGACCCCACTAGAGGTGCACATGTAAGGTGATTCTGATGAGGTCTCTGGCAGGAATCAGGTATGCCTAATTTAAAAACTGGTATCCTGTAGTGAGAATTCTGGAATCTTGGTGTCTTTAACAAACACAGAAATATATGTTTTCATTTTAATCCCAGGTGTGGGATATGGGGCTGCTTCATAGCAGCTATGATTTGCCTTCTGTTCTAGCAGAGGCATGGTTTTGCCAGCAGCAGATAGTTTCTGCAATTGTGTGATGTTTGGAATTCTGGAATTTTTCAGAGAGTATATAAATTCTAGAGTCCCGATAGGTGGGGTTGGTTGCAGTAGTTGTGCTTAAAGAAACAAGAAATTATAGAGACAGCTCTCTCTCTCTCTCTCTCTCCTTCTCTCCTATCTAGTGACGGGGGATGAAACCTGGGGACTAAGGGTAGGAAAAAGAACCCCAAAGTAGAAAAGCCCAGCTCCAGTATCCTTGCTATGCAGTGACAAGGAACCTGGCTGCACTAATTCTAGTGTTTTATAGAATAGTGTTTGTCATTACTATGGATCAGGTCCAGAGTGTATTGAGGGTATGCGTGCCACAGCTCCTGTGGAGGTCAGAGGATAGTGTTGTGGAGTTGGGTCTCTTCTTCTATGTGGATTCTGGGGGTCGAACTCAGGGCCTTGGGCTTCTGTGCTGCCTTGATATCCACTAATGGACGAATTTTAAGAAATGTAAGTTCAAAATACTCAGATGAGATTTCTACATAGATGACCAAAGTGTGGCCTGATTTGCTCTTGCTGCATCTACAAAGCAGGAGGACAGAGATACCCTGAGCAAATTGTTGAGCAAAAATTTAGAAAATTCTCCCCTTATTCATATCATTTAAAAAAAAAAAAAAAGGAAAGCCACAAAAGTGTGTGTGTTTGGAGGGAATGGTAGATGGCTGGAAAACATTTTCAACAGAGATTGGCATGAGTGTGAAACTAGAGTTAATTAGCAATCTCTTCTTGCCCTAGGAGACAGAAAGAGACTGGGGCAAAATGAAGGCAGACTTTCAGACTTCAGAGATTCTAAAGAGAAAACCAGTGGAGCGCCAAGCTGTAAGTGTGTTGTTCATCTTCAAGAAAAGGGGAGAACTCTCCATTCTGTTCACCCCTTTAGTCCCAGCACTCAGTAGACAGTCAAGAGGATCTCTGAGTTTGAGGCCAGCTTAGTCTACATATTGAGTTCCTGGACAGCCAGGGCTATGTAACAGAGAGTCTCTGTCTCAAAACACCAAAAGGAAAAAAGAAAAAGGAAGGAAAGGAGGGAGGGAGGGAAGGAGAGAGGGATGGAGGCAGGGGGAAGAGAAGGGGAAGGGAAGGGGAAGAAAAAAGGAGAAAAGAGAAAGAAAGGAGAAAGAGGAGAAAGGAGAAAGGGGAAAGGAGAAAGGAGAAAGGAGAAAGGAGAAAGGAGAAAGGAGAAAGGAGAAGAGAAGAAACTGTGGTTCCAAACTCTGGCCAGAGGTCTGGAGTGAGGTGAAATGTGTGAAGCCATTGTTCAGGGCTCGGGAAACAATACTGCCTGCCAGCCCTGTGAGCCAGGGGGCAGAACACTGAGTCAATATTATTCTTGAGACTTAAGGTCCCACAGAATTTGCTTTGCTGGGTTTCTGCGGGACACCGGGACCCAGCACTGCTCAGGTCTGATGTCTCCCTTTCAGAATAGGGATATCTAACCTGCATCTGTCTAGTCAGAGGACTTTGAAAGCAAATTCCATGTTTGATTTCATGGGACTCCGGATGGAAAAATGGCTTACAGGTGAACTGGAATTATATCTTCACCCACACTTGATTGAGATATCTGTATTAAGAAATTTCTAATTTATAGCTAATGCTAAACTGCATTAAGGATCTGAAGTCTGGGGATGCCGTGAATCCTGTCCCCACAATGTAAATACCGATGCCTTACCTCTAATGTGACGTGACTTGGAGGCAGGACATTTACTCAAGGTTAAATAAGGTCATCTGGATGTGGTCCTATCCAGGATTAGAGGCACCAGGAAAGTACATACAGGAGGGATGGACCTGTAGGTGCACAGCACATCTGGAAGCCATCTACCCGCTAAGGGGAGGTGTGGTCCCAGCAACACCTGAGCCAGTCTGATAGAGGACTTCTAGGCACCATATATATGGCAAAGTAAATTTCTTTTGCCTGAGCTCTACAGTCTAAGGTATTTTGTTAGGAAGCCCTAGAAAACTAACACATACTGCTAACTGAAGAATAGTAAACCATAAAACCAATGATTTCATGAACAAGCAAGGATTTTTAACCCTACTCCATTTCCGGGAACATTCACTAGTGATTTCTGCCAGCTTCGTGCTCCTGGGGAAAGGAAGAAACAGGTCAGGCAAACACCTCTCGGGCTAGGAGTTGATGGCCATACTTGGTCTTCCTATGTCTATGGAAGTGAACCTTCCAGCTAAAGCCACGCCTACAATGCACGCACTTGGGGCTTCTTGCCAGAGTAGGTCTGCGACCGCCTGATGAGGGCAGAGTTAAAGCCATGGCTTCTCTACGGACTGCACTGAGTCCTGGAGTCAGAGGTAAGGTGTAGCATCCCATCCAGTCCCTACCCACGTATGCTGTTTACAAAAAGCTCCTACTTGGAGTGTGTCCTCAGGTGTCTGGTAAGAAGTGACTTAAAACCAAAGGCACGCCCACACTGGGGGCACAGGTAAGGCTTCTCCCCTGTATGGCTCCTCTGGTGCCCAATGAGGTTGAACTTTTGGCTAAAAGCCTTGCCACACTCGGGGCACACGTAGGGCTTCTCCCCCGTGTGTGTCTTCTGGTGTCTGATGAAGAGCGACTTAAACTCAAAGGCTCGTCCACACTCAGAGCACTGGTAAGGCTTCTCATCTCCGTGGGTCCTCTGGTGTCTGATGAGAGAGACCTTCTTTCCAAATGTTCGCCCACACTCAGCACACAGGAACGGCTTCTCCCCTGTGTGAATCCTTTGGTGCCTGACAAGGTTGAACTTCTGCCTGAAACGCTGGCCACACTGGGGACAGGCGTAGGGTTTCTCCCCCGTGTGCGTCTTCTGGTGCCCAATGAGGTTGAACTTCTGACTAAACCCCCTACCACACTGAGGACACACATAAGGTTTCTCTCCCGTGTGTATCTTCTGGTGTCTTGTGAGGAGCGATTTAAACTCAAAGGTTCGTCCACAGTCGGGACACTGGTAAGGTTTCTCCCACCCTGCGTGGGTCCTCTGGTGTCTGATGAGCATGGACTTCCTTACAAACGCACGACCACACTCTGGGCACAGAAAAGGTAACTCCCCTGCATGAATCCTCTGGTGCCCAATGAGGTTGAACTTCTGGCTAAACCCCCTACCACACTGGGGACATACGTAGGGCTTCTCCCCCGTGTGTGTCTTCCGGTGTCTGGTAAGGAGCGACTTAAACTCAAAGGCTCGTCCACACTCGGGACACAGGAAAGGTTTTACCTCTGTGTGAATCCTCTGGTGCCTAATGAGGTTGACCTTCTGGGTGAAACTCCAGCCACACTGGCGACACACGTAAGGCTTCTCCCCTGTGTGCGTCTTCTGATGTCTCATGAGCGTACCCTTTTGGCCAAAGCGTTGCCCGCACTCAGTGCAAAGGTGCGGTTTCTCCCCAGAGTGGGTGACCTGGTGAGTGAGGAGCCGGGAGAGCAGCCTGAAGCCACGCCCACACACTGAGCAGATGAAGGGGTTGTCACCCGAGTGTGACCATCGGTGTTGCAGTAGCGAGGCCTTCCGGCAAAAGCCCCTCCCACACTCGGGACACACGAAGGGCTTTTTATCCAGGTGAGTCCGCTGGTGAAGGAGGAGGTCGATCTGCTGGCGGAAGCCACGCCCACACTCCGGACACACGAGGGGGCTCTCCCCAGAGTGGATAATCTTCTTGTGGTTGTTGAGGGAGGATACGTACATGAAGCCTCGCCCACACTCCCCACACACGTGTGGCTTCTCCCCCGAGTGTTTCCTCTGATGGACCGTGAGAGAAGCCTTCTGAGTAAACTGGTGCCCACACTCCGAGCACGAGTAAGGCTTCTCCCCTCCGTCCATTCTCTGGAGCTTCATGAGGTCTGAACTCTGGCAAAAGCCCCCTCCGCAGTCCGGATACCCGTGATGCTTCTGAGGGCTGAACAGGTTTGTGACATCATTAAGCCCTAGTGGAAACGCTCCATGTATGACGGCTCCAGACGCTGACTCATCGGGTCCCTTCAACACTGTGACTGCCTCCTCAGGGGCCAGGCCAAGGTCTGTTTGTTTACTGGTGCCTTCTACCCAGTATGCTGCCTGACCTTGACATGGGCTAAAGAACGGCTTCAGAATCCTCGTTGGACTCGTCCTTTGCAACAGAACATCGCTGCTGTCTCTCTCTTCACCTCCTTCATTGCTAGAACAGCCTGGAGCTTCTGACTGGAAGTTGCTCCCTGCTGGTGGGCTTGGGAAAGTCTGAGAGGGAGGTCCATTCAGCACACACACTCTGAGGACTTCCGGACTAGCAAAGGCTATCGGGCAGGAGAGACAGGGCTCTAATTCTGTCCTGGGTTCTGCTAGAGAGAAAGCAGTGGTCAGAATTACAGAGGTGCCTTGTGGGTAGGCACATATCCCCAACAATGATTCCTCAGATGTTCACAACAAACACTCCCTTTACAGGTCTGTCTTCCACACTCTACTGCAAACCGCCTTCCCACAGCTCCGAAAGGAAAACTAAAACACTGAAAAGCCTTATGGGTGATGCCCGCTCTGTAAGCTATTAAAATTAGAACTGCTAATAGTGGCAGGCACATCCACGAATACTTGCTTTTACTCAACCGGGTAGTACAAATTTTTTCAGTGATTTTCTTTGATTTATACGGAAATGACTAAGTGTCAAGTCATCCCCCAAATGGGAGAGGGAGTCCTAACCAATGTCAAGAGGTCCATATGCGGTATTCAAGTGAATGTTCCCTTACCCATAAGCAAACCAGGAAACGAAGCTGGGATTCTCTTATCCGAAAATGGGGGTTCCACAATGTAGCAGGATGTCATGGCCTCCGCCTATGAGCCCTTAAAGAAATCTGATTCTCAGGACCTAAATAATCCGAGAGTCTCCTGGATTTTCTTAAATGTTCCCCTCTAATAATAACAGGACTTGCCTAGGAGATGTCAAATCAATATCCCTGTTCCACTGCAATTGGTTCTTAGCTACTTAGAGCTGATTATTTAAAAAAAAAAAATCTAATGAGCTCTGACTGAGGACTCAGAATGTCCAGCCTTTCTAGACCTACCTGATTCTTGCTGACCAGTACAGAGGGAGACATATTTCATGAAGCATCTACAATAGGTCTGCCAACTGTTTATAGATGGTTGTTGGACCAGAGTCCATTATTAGTGTACCGCTTACTGCCCCTTTCACACTGAAGAGGCGTCATTACAAGAAAGACACCCTTGAAGTCTAAAGTCCATACCGTAGACCCTTTTATGAATGGCTACCATGAAGCCCCCTTCCTAACTCCTGAGTCCCACTGTTTTCTCTCCTAAGAAAACTCAATACAACTTGCTCTCTGGGTGTCCCTGCTCGCTTTCTGGGTGTCCCTGCTAGTTGAACAGACTTCTTGACAATTACTAACGCTGTTCCTCACAGCCTTCCAGACTGTGAGAGTTTGGGCCTTAGTACTCAGAAGAGAGAGAGAGAAGTCTTAGTACTGGGAGAGAGAGAGAAGTCTAGGTTCTGTATATGAGAAGAAAACTATCTGTCTTTCCAACTCTGCCTTATTTTCTTTAACACGGTGATCCCCAGTTGCGCCCATCTGCCTGCAGATCCCTTCGGTATACACCTAGGAAGGATACAGCTGAGTCATGAAACACTTCCATTATTAGTATCGTGAGGACCTGCCATGCTGATTCCCATAGAGGCTGTGTTTGTTATATTCTCACTGGCAGCATAGAGGGGCTCTGTTTCCCTGCATCCTCACTAGAATTGGCGGCATTTTTGTCTTCCTGATGGTAACCATTCTGACTGGGGAGAGATGGAATCTCAGAGCAGCTTTAATTGGCAGCTTCCTGGTGGCTACGGATGTTGAACACTTCCCTCACACGCTTTCTGCTCACTTTTTTTTTTTTTTTTTTTTTGGTTTTTCGAGACAGGGTTTCTCTGTGTAGTCCTGGCTGTCCTGGAACTCACTCTGTAGACCAGGCTGGCCTTGAACTCAGAAATCCACCTGCCTCTGCCTCCCAAGTGCTGGGATTAAAGGTGTGCGCCACCACTGCCCGGCTTCACTTGTATTTCTTAAGAACTGTCTACTCACTGACTAATTGGGTTCAGTATCGCACTGATTTTAGTAGAGCTATTTTGATGTAAATATGCACCATGCTTCAAAAAAGTGGAGAGTGACTCAAATCAAACCAATGTCACTTCCACCATGGAGGCAGAGTCTACAAACTACAAGAGCAAGCAGACATCCATACTGCCTTCAAAGGGAAGGGGACCACAGCGGTTCTGAGAAGGCATTCTCCTCCTGGCTGATGGGGCTTGGCAGAATTCTGGGAATGGAACCCCTGCCACAAGTTGGTGGGGGACCTGGCCATTGGCCCTGTGAGCCTGAGGGCAGAGCAAGTTCTAAACCTAACACACAAGGCACAAAGAAAAGCCACAGAGGGAAGGTGCCCCAGTGGGCCAATTGACATTTTACCACTTGAGTTTACAGAAAATGTTACCTTTGTTTAGGTCTCAGCATCTTCTATATTCTTATTCATCATACTTTTTAAAGAAATTATAGTTAAGGTTAAAAACTTGATTTAATCATCAATATGACTGCAAAAATCTTAGACGTAGAACATTCTACTGTAGAGCCATATTTGTACTCTTAAAATCATTTTTTCGGTGCAGTGGGGAAGGGACGGATTTGTAAACCTCAGAGTGCGGTTCTGCCTGCCGGAGGCCGCTGTGGTGCGGAAACCCCCGGGTGAATCCACCGTCACCATGTCTGACCAGGAGGCAAAACCTTCAACTGAGGACTTAGGTGACAAGAAGGAAGGAGAATACATTAAACTCAAAGTTATTGGACAGGATAGCAGTGAGATACATTTCAAAGTGAAAATGACAACGCATTTCAAGAAACTCAAAGAATCATACTGTCAAAGACGGAGTTCCAATGAATTCACTCAGGTTTCTCTTTGAAGGTCAGAGAATTGCTGATAATCATACTGGGAAAACTGGGGAAGGGGGGAGAAGATGTGATTTAAGTTTTTCAGGAACAAACGGGGGGGGGGGTCACTCGACGGTTTAGATAAGTCTTTTTATATTTTTTCCTTTTCCCTCAATCCTTTTTTATTTTTAAAAATAGTTCTTTTGTAATGTGGTGTTCAAAATGAAAATTGAGTACTGGCACTCCATCTCTTAGAATATCTGGTAATCTAAATTCTAGTGTTCAATATTCATTATTGGTTGTTTTTGTTGTGCTGATTTTTGGTGATCAGACCTCAGCTACCTTAATATTGCCCTTCTTCTTTTAAGAAATTTCATGTGTGCACAGAGAGGCCACCCTTTTCAGGACTGTGCATTTTCAGGTTTGTGATGATAAAAAGATCAACAAATGGAGCTTTCCTATGACCTTTTGATTGGCCCTGAAGTTCCAGCATGTGGTTGCTTCACTCCTGGACTGTGATTTTCAGTGGGAGATGGAAATTTTTCAGAGAACTGAACTGTGGAAAATGACCTTTCCTCATAAAATCTGAGGGTCTGGACCAAAAGAAGAACATCATGTTTGTAGTCAAGATGACAGACAGAGTGAGAGTAACAGCTAACTCCAAAGGTGGCTTCACTGGAGAGAAAGAAAGTGTCTTGAGCAAGACGGTATTGTCAGAAGATCCCAGGAAAGTTCTAATTTTCATCAGCAGTTAATAAAGTTACTCACACAGAAGTGTACACAACAGACACTGCTCCTTTTGATTCTGTTTGTACTTTTTGGCCTGGGACATGGGTTTTCAAGGGACATTGTCTGTACCAGCTTCATTAAAATAAACAATATTTGTAAAAAAAATCATTTTTCTTCTTTCTAATGTTCTTGCTCCAGAACTTCACTTTTTTAATGGTTTGTTGTTGTGGTAGTTGTTGTTTGGGGGGTTGGCTGGTTGGTTTTGGGGACTAAGGATGAGAGCAAGATTACTTCTTTTACCATTTCCTTCTCTTCGAAGAATTTCCTTACCTATAGTTTAACATATGTGTCACAAATTATTTCCATTAAACTGTCAATGAATCACTTTCATTTCTGAGGGATAGTTTTGCTAGGTATAAAATTTACAATCCTTTCAGCACTTGAGAAAACTCAAGTTTTCATTGCCTGTCATGTTTTTATTGGCCTAGTTAGTTCACATGAAAAATTCTCTATAGGCAAAGCATTTTCCCCCCACTGGCTGCCTTTCTGTTTCTTTCCCCTCTTTTTAGATTCCAGAATTGCAGTCATGTGTCTTAGTGTTTATGCATATATGTTTATTTAATGTTTCTATGGCTTCTTGTATCTGTATATTTATCTTTTAATAACCATGATTTTCTCAAATATTTTTCAGTATCCTTTTTGGGTTCTGATGACATAAGGGCTGTTTCTTGTTCTTATACCAGAAGTCTCTAGAACCATTCTTTCTTCAGGCCATTTTCTTTCTTTGTTCAGATTTATGATATTTTATTGTTCCAGAATCAAGTTCACTGATTCCACTTGGACGTAGTGGTGCACATATTTAATCCCACCACTCAGAAGGCAGATCAAATAGATCCCTATGAGATCAAGGCCAGAGAGGGCTACAGAGTGCGACCCTGTCTTAAAACATCAAACAAACTCACTGATTCCACCCTATTATTCCAACTCTATAGCTAAGCCCATCCAAAGAGTTCACATTTTCTGCTATATATTTCAATAACACAACTGCAGATTTATTTTATGTAAAATATTTCTTTGCTGATATTTTTATACTCTTTTGTTTCAAGAGTACATGTAATAGGTTGAAAATCCTTGGAACACTTATTTATTCATTACTAAGGACTGAACCCGAGGCCTTGTACTTGCTAAGCAAATGCTCTGTGAACTATGCCCCCTTTTATTTTCAAGGTCTCACAGTTGTTCAGGTTGGCCTTGAACTCACTCTATAACCAGGCTGCCATTCTTGCCATTCTCCTACCTTAGCCAAATGCTAAATTCACAGTCTTGCATTCACCAGGCCCTGAAAGACAAGTCTAATCTCTCATCCCTACCACCACCACCTAATCAGCTGTATATCACTGTCATCTTCAAGTTTTAATTTCCTGGCTCTTGGTATGAAGGGTGGTATTTTTTACTGTATGCTGAATTGGCTTTCATGCTGAGTGACTCTGGGCCCTATAAGAAATATACACCCTATTTATGCCCAACACTCAGATACAAGTCAGGACTTAGGTACATCATGACTTATCAATATGATGTAATTCTATGTGCCAACAAAAATGAATTATTGATGTAGAGCCCATGGATAAAATTCTAAGTAATTATGCTAGGTGGAGAAGACAGCTACATCCTGTGTGAATCGATTCACATAAATTCTAGAAAATTCAGACATCTATAATCAGGAAAAATGGATTAGAAAGGAGGAGATACTATTGACAGTTGATGGCTTTTTGGGAAGGGTGAATCAGTTTCCTTTAAGGTGAGGCCCTGGTAGGTCTACCACGCTCTAGTGAACGACCTCATACCCATGAAAACATGGGCAAAGCACGTGAGACTCAATGGGCTATTTTTAAAAAGAAAGAAAAAGGAGACATAAAGTTGGGAACTGTGAGGTGGAGGGAGAAGTTAGGGTGAATAGGACCAATATACGTTGTATATATACATGAAATTCTCAATGAGAATTAATAACATTATTTTATTAATTCTTAAAAATTAATAAAATATTCTTATTTTAAAAAAGAAAGAAAGGTAAGGAGATTGAAAAGTAGAAGTTGTGGTAAGGTACACAGTAAGTTTGGGAATGATGGCTATGCTCACTATTTCAGTTGTAACAAAACTTACTGACTTTCACTTTTACTACAGTTTACCTTAAAAACATCCTTTTTTGTCTTAATACCCCATACCTTAATAGCATTCTATATGCTAACATACCTCATGTAACATTCTTTTTTACAAAGTCCGAGTTTGATATAAAGCATAATGTCCCCCGTATGGTTTATTTAGAAGGAAAACAATAAAATAAGAGCGTGGTGCTGCACGCATTTAATCTCAGCGCTCGAGAGGCAGGGGCAGGCAAAGCTCTCTCTGTGAGCACAAAGTTAACCTGGTCTACATAGGGAGTCCCAGGCCAGCCGGGGCTAGAGTGAGAGCCTGTCTCAAAAAAAAAAAAAAAAAAAATTTAAAATGGCAGTAAAAGTAAAGACAGATTCATTAAAAAGAAAAAGATAAGCCAGGCAGAAATTTGTCTATACATTCTAATAATCATATAAAATTAGTATGGGTTGAATTAAAGACCTAAGTAAGTGTTTGCGGAGGGGGAAATTTTACGACTGTGATCAGTAACAAAAGAAAAATTAACTACAACGTGGGAAAATATCTAAAGCAGTCCATCACTCCCAGATTGGGACAGATCACATGAGATATTCATATTAGCCACCTAAAACCCCAGGAGATTCCAGAAAGATGGGGGAAATGGGGTCAGACAGTACCCCACGTTGGTAAGGATGCGTCTGAAGAGTTCTCACACCGCCACTGGGGCAGTGCTCTTACCTGCTTCAGACAGTCTGTGTGACACAGCCAAGCCTGTGTCACACAGATGTAGAGCGCAAAATAGTGCGGTGTCCTGAAGGACCCACGGAGTAGGATAAAAGGACTGGGGCAGCCATGGAATGTGAACAGGGAAGGAGGTGGGGAAGCTGGACAGTCTGAGAAAGAACACGCCTGCCCCCTGGTGGACAATGGGCTCCTAGCCCCCCCAGGGGCTGTCAGACTACCACACGTCTTCAAGTTAAACTATCATAAAGAAAACAAAGCTGTGGGGATTTACAGGGCCGTTTCTGGGTCAAGTACAGAAAAGGAACAGCGTTCAGCGGGCACAGCCTAGTCGGTCTCGAAGGGCAGGCACTGTGTTGAAGATCAAAAGCGAGACTGGTAAGGACGCGAGAGGAAAACCTAAAAGTGCTGCAGGAGCCAAGCCGAGAAATCAGGTGCCCTACGGGGTTGACCTTCCCCTAAGTGCGAGAGGGAGGGAGAGAGGCAGCCTTACCTGGAGCCCCGGAGGCCTACAGGAGAGCTCCCTTAGCATGTCAGAGTGGGCCCCTCCCTTGTCTGAGGGAGCCCCTCAATGCCTCGTAACCTCACCTTCCCAGAGTCTTCCTCTTACCTGGACAAAGCTCCAGAAAGCATCCACTGCCATCTCTCCAGGGTTCCGCCCCTTGTTCCAGCTGCATGATGAGTTTCGGTTTGGAAAATGCAATTCCTAGTCACAAGAAAACAAACCCAAAGTGACCTTAGGCTAGCGGCTAGAGAGGCTACAACAGAACTCCGGGCCAACGTAGGAGATATCAAACACCCAGAAGGGAAGTAGAGGAACAGGGAAAGAGTATCAGAATATTATGAAAGAACGAAAAGGGCAGAGGACCCTGTGTCAAAAGCAGGGTAATCATCCCTAGAAACACACTGTCGGTCACTGCATTCACAAGCACACATGTGTACAGGTGCACACACTCTTCACTGCAAAACACAGACATTCTAAAGAACAGAGCATGTTGGCGGCTACACAGACGTTTAACACACCCACAGATAGCCTCCAAGACTTAAAACAGGGCAGCCTTACCCAGGGAGACCAGATGGCTGTAGTTCTCCAACATCACTTCCCTGTACAGGATCCTCTGAGCAGGACTCAGCAGCTCCCACTCCATCTGGCTGAAGGCCACAGCCACGTCATGGAAGGCCATTAACGCCTATAACAAAGAACACATCCCTGCTCATGAGAGCAGCAGCCTGGCTAAAACCAGTAACCAGTGTCAGTCACTATCCAGAACCAAGGCAGTAAGATTGTGGTGACTTAACGGCAGGAGGTGTACAGGTCCTGCTTTCTACCCTGAACCTTACTGTTGTATGTTGAAGACAACCTCCTTATATGGACACCAGTTCCATACATAGAACCCAGAAACGCTGGGTTTCCTGTTTTGCTCTAGGCATATACAAGACCTTTGAAAGCCAGTTTTAACTAGTGTGGCTATAGAGCAGGGCTTAAAATCAGGAAAACTAAATCCTTCTACTTTACTCTTCATTTCATTCACTTTACCTGAAGTGGTTCTTGCTGTACTGTCCACACTGGCTCAACTTCCAGCTCTCCTACCACAGTGTCCTGGGTAACTGGGATTAGATACACACCACCACACACAGTCGATAAATGTTACTTAAAAGTTACTTTAGCTATTTTAAAATACACTGTGCCTTCCTATACCAATTTTAGAGTAACTTTGTAGAAACTGCTACAACTTTACCAGAATTTGTTTACCATGGGTTTTAGTTAGGGTTTCCATTGCTGTGATTAAACACCATGTCCAAAAGCAAGTTAGGAAGGAAAAGGTTTATTTGACTTACACTTCCATATCATAGTCCATCACTGAAAGAAGCCAGGATGGGAACTCAAACAGGGCAGGAACTTGGAGGCAGGAGCTGATGCAGAGACCATGGAGAGATGCTGTTTACTGCCTGCTCCCTCTGGCTTGCTCAGCCTGCTTTCTTTCTTTTTTTTTTTTTTAAGGTTTATTTATTTATATGAATACACTGTAGTTGTCTTCAGACACACCAGAAGAGGGCATCGAATCCCATTACAGATGGTTGTGAGCCACCATGTGGTTGCTGGGAATTGAACTCAGGACCTCTGGAAGAGCAGTCAGTGCTCTTAATCACTGAGCCATCTCTCCAGCCCAGCTCAGCCTGCTTTCTTATCGAACCAGGACAGCCAGCCCAAGAATGGCACCTTCCACAATGGGCTAGGCCTTCCCCAACCATCACCAACCAAGAAAATGTTCCATAGGTTGGCCCAATCCTGAAGGCATTTTCTCAATTGAGGTTTTGACTATAGCTTATGTCAAGTGGACTCAAACCTAGCTAGCATATCATGTACTTCCATTTGGGGAAAACTGACCTCCTTACTATGTCAAATCTTCCAGCCTTTACAATGTGTGTATGGGGGGGGGCAGACAGAGACAGAGACAGACAGAGAGACGATTTTCTTTTTTTGCAAAATGTAATTTCCAGCACTAAGATTCTACAAGGATTTTTATTATACTACACTTCAGAATTTCTGTGTGTATTGTGTGTGTGATCTTGATGGCCTGGAGTTTGGATGCATATTCACTGCTACAATATACAGGACATGTGATATTGCTATTTATATATAACCTAGCTGAACTCACTCATGAGCCCTAAGAAGTTTTTCTGCTAAGTTCCTTGAGATTTTCTACAGGGACGATCATGTCACATGGAAATAAGAACCGTTTCAGTTCATGTTTAGAATAGTTTATGATCTGTGTGCTTTTAACTCTCTCTCCTCACTTTTTGTTCTAGCATTACAATGAATGAGTAGACAGACATCCTATGCTTATCCTGAGTCCTAAGAAAAACGTGAATTCAGCTCTTCACCATTAGCATGCAAGCGTCAGAATAGTTGTTATCAAAAATCAAAGAAACAGGTCATTAAAGGATACAGAGAGCCAGGCAGTGGTACACACCTTTAACCCTAGCACTCAGGAGGGAGAGGCAGGTGGATCTCTGTGAGTTCGAGGCTACAGACCAAGTTCCAGGACATCCAAGAGATACACAGGGCTCTGTCTCAAAAATAAAAATAAAAAAAAATAAAGTATACAGAGAAACTGAAACTTTGCACACTCCTGACAGGAACATAAAATGAGACACTTCTACAGGAGAGTTTGATAACTGTTCAACAGCAATTCCAAAACATTGAAAGCACCAACCGAGAACACGGTGGGATAATGTTCATAGCAGTTTCATCTACAGCAACTTAACGGTGGGAACAACCCAGGTGGCTAACAACTGGTGACAAACGGTGACATGAACTGTAGCGCACACTGACGTTAAAAGGGAAATCCTAACCTGTGTTTTCTAGAATAGACCTTGAAAATATTACTCCAGGTGAAATATGCCCATCACAAAGGGAGAAAGGCTGCGCTTCTTTTTCCTGAAGGATGGTGGTGACGGTTACACAGCCGTGAGTGTACCTGATGATGCTGAATTGTCCATTTAAAACAGTGAAAATGATAAACTTTATGGTAAGATAGCATAGATTTATTCCCACAGTTTAACAAGCACTGTCAGGTGTTGGTTTCAAGACATGATGGTCTCTAACCTTCTTCTGAACAGGACCTGTCTGGTCTGGGTATCAGGATGATTCTCCTCCATAAAAGGAATTTTAAAGGTGTTCCCTCCTCTTCTAGCTTTGGAGGAAGGTGCAGCGTTGATACTAAGTCTTTGATGTGTGCAGGATTCCACACCAGAGTCACTGGCACTTTACACGAATTGAGCTGAATCTCTGGATCACTTAGGTGGTACTGTCATCCAATCACAAGCACAGAAAGCCTTTCTCCCATCCAGACCTGGCCCTCCTTAGCTTCCCCCAATCATTCAGGGTGCCAGGACTGTAAGCAAAAACTTTTCTACTTCTTGAAGTCTTTTTTTTTTTTCCAGAAATGTTTTTGTGAACAAATCTTTGGCTTCCTTGGTTAAATTTATTTCCAGGAATTTTGCTATTTTGAAGGAATTGTTTCTTCTTTAATTATTCTCAAACAGATCAGTGGTAAGATAGATAGAACTGGAGTGTGTGTGTTGGTTATGTATAGTGCAAATTTTATTACTCTGATGATCAATTTGCTAACTCTAACCATCTTTTTTTCTCTTGAAACAAAAAGTTATTTGACTCATGATGATCTAATCAAATGCTTGAAATTTTTCTTTCTCATGGTGCTAGAAGTCAACTGGAAGTGTTAATGCAGGGCTTTGTTTGTTCCCAAGACAGCTGTCTTGTAAACTCTACAGGGGACAAACACCATCCTCATAGGAAACATGGGATGAAGGAGACATGGGGGGCCAAGTTAGTTCCCTTTAGGCCCTTATGAGGTCAGTCTTTTCTGAGAGTCCTGCCCCCATGACTTAATCTCCTCTCCGAGATCCTATCTTGTTTCAACATATGACTCTTGGGGCAAATATACAGACTAAGGAAAAGTACTTGACAGCTTTAAGGTATTGGATCAGGTTCCAAGTAAAGAGATCACGTTACTCTTTCTTACCCATTGGGTATCTCACTGACTGGTGTTGGCTTTCCGATAAGAAATCAGCTCAGTCACACGGATGATCTCTCGTGGGAAATGAGTCACCTCTCATTTAACTGCTTCAAAAGTCCTGTCTTTGGTTATTAAAATCATGGTGTTTTGTTTTGTTTTGTCAATTTTTATCTTATTTGGTGTTTGTGGACTTCTTACATGTACAGATCTTTGTTCGAAGACTTTATAAAACTGCTTCTTCTCCTCCTCCATCTATCTTTTCCTCCATTCGCACCGTGAACATCAGTATAGATACTGGTGCCCGGTTTCATTTAAGCTCTGGTTTCATTTACTTTCTCTTGTATTCTTTGTTTGCGCTTTAGAATGGACACACAGTTGACCTATCTCCAGTCTTCAGTCCATCTACCCAATAGGCTGTTGAACTCCTTCGCTGAAATTTTCGCTCCACTCAGTATGCTTTATAGCTCTCTGATTTGTGTATTGTTTCTTTTTATAATTTTTCTTTACTGAACTCTCTACTTATTGAGACACTGTTGACTCAAATTCTTTTGGCTCCGGGTGTGTGGTTCTCTTAGCTCTTTCTGCTGAGGTTCCTGCAGGTCACTTAGCAGATGGACAACACAATGGCAGGTCAGCAGCTGAAAATATCACCAAGCTCTCTAGCTACTGAGCATCAGCTGATTCCTTCGACAGTGTCTTCCAGTTCCGACTAGACTCCATCATTCTGCAGACACTGGTTTGACTGCCTCTGTCAGCTCACTGGTTTCTTGAGGGGGAGGACAGAGATCTGGATTTCTCTTTTATGATATTTTTATTACATATTCTTTTTTTAATTGAACTATTCTATTTATATGAAATATCCACAACTAAATCTATACAACACAAAGCACATTGGTTGTCTTAGTTATTGTTCTATTGCTGTAAAGAGACACCACAACCATGGCTCCCCTTCAGAAGAACATTTAATTGGGGCTGGCTTACAGGGTCAGAAGTTTAGTCCATTACAGTCATGATGGGAAACATGGTGGCACACAGACAGACATGGTGCTGGAGAGACAGCAAGACATCCATCCAGATCAGCTAACAGCAGGAAGAGAGGGATAAACTGGGCCTGGCTTGAGCCCTTGAAACCTCAAAGCCCACCCACAGTGACACACTTCCTCTAACAAAGCCACGCCTACTCCAACAAACTAACAACTCATTATCCCTGTTAGGTAACACCACTACCTAATGACCAAGCATCCAAATCTATGAGCCTATGGGAGCCATTCCTACTCAAACCACCACAGTGGTTAACAGAAGCTGGAAGAAGAGAGTATAGGGTAAAATTGGAAGTGATGAAAACATTATGGTGGTGAAGGCTGTTCAATTTAATACACACTAGTTGATAGTATACTAAAATCCACTGAATTTCTTATGGGTGAACTTTACAGTTATTTTATTTTCATGTGTATGAGTGTTTTGCCTGTATGTGTATCTCTGCACCACATGCATGCCTGGTGCAAAGTTCAGAAGAGGAGGTTGGATGCCCTGGAAGAGAAGTTACCGATAGTCATGAATAACCATGCCAGGTCCTCTGCAAGAGCAACACATGCTCTTTACCACTGAGCCTTCTCTCCAGCCCCCATTTTAACATTTAAAATTTCAGTGATGGGTCTTCTAATTAAATGGGGATCTTTGCAGTAATGGAGCCTGAAGTGTGGTTATTATTTTTTTGTAAGACATATTATAGTTTGTAGCAGACTTTGAAAAAAACTTAAGATGCAATGAAGGGCTGTTAAATGATTTCTAATTAGCTACTATCCTGTACCTACCAGCCCTTTAATGTTATAATTCAACTTTCAAGCAATATCCATATATATGACATATATATACATATATAATACTTATATATTATATTTTATATATTAATTTTATATATTTTATATATTGTATATTGTATATTTTATATTTTATATATTGTATATTATATATTGTATATTATATAGTGTATATTTGATATTTTATATATTATATATTATATATTGTATATTGCATATTGCATGTTGTATATTGTATTATATTATATGTTGTATATTGTATATTGTATGCTGTATATTACATATTGTATATTATATATTTATTATATATTGTATACTGTATATTAGATATTAGATATTGTGTGTGTGTGTGTGTGTGTGTGTGTTGGATTTTTCTATGCAATTTGGATCTGATACACAATATAGTAACTGAAAATACAATTTTTAAAAACACTGTTGATGATGAACATTTCATGTTTGTCAGGTGTGGTGGGACACACCTTTGATCCCAGCACTCGGACATGCATATGCATGCATATGGCAGTCAGAGATAAACCTCAGCTGTCATTTCTCCAGTGTTGTCCACCTTGGTTTTTGAGACAAGACCTGTCATTGGCCTAAGACTCATTAAGTAATCTGGGCTGCCTGGGCAGTGAGCCCAGAGATCTACCTATCTTTGCGTTCCCAACACTGGGATTACAAGCACACAGCACCACTTGAATTGTTTTAACACGTTTTAACATTCATTTGTGTTGAAGGGGGGAGGGTTGGTACATGTATACCACAGCATGTGTATAGAGGTCAGAGGACAACTTGCAAGACTTGGTTCTCTCTGTCTACCATGTGAGTTCACGGGGATCAAACTGGGGTCACTGGCAGCAGGTGCCTGTACCCACTGTGCCATCTTGCCATCCTCTGACTATGTATGTGTGTGTGTATGTGTACGTCTATTATGTATGTATGTGAACATGAACGCAGCTGCCCCAGGGAGGCCAGAAGAGGGTTCCAGGTTCCCTGGAGCCGGAGTTACAGGTGGTGGTGAGCCAACCAATGTGAGTGATAGGAACCAAACTCCAGCCCTCCACAGAGCCTGCTTGTCTGTTTGTTTGTTTTTTGTTTCAAGGCAGACAATGTTTCTCTGTTCCACCTGTCCTGGAACTCCATCTGTAGACCAGACTAGCCTTGAACTCAGAGATAAACCAGCCTCTGCCTCCTGAGTGCTAGGATTAAAGGTGTGCACCGTCACACCCAGAATGCCCTTACCCGCTGCTGAGTCATCCTCCAGCCTCCCCTGACCCTTTTTTAAAAAATATGGGTTCTCAGAAATCAAACTCAGGTCCTCAAACTTACAGGACAAGAGCGTTATCGGCTGCCCTGTCACACAGCCCGATCCAGACGTTTAAGCACCACCTTCCAATCTTTGAAGCATGGATGCTTGTCGCTTTAAAATGGTTTAGCATGTGTTCTTCATTCTACAGCAGTATAAAGTTATATTCGGTCATTCGATAGAGGCTAGTCTCTGATTCTAAACTTTGACTTCTTCCTGAACACAAACACCCAGTACTCCACTGATGCCGAGCTAGTCAGTATCAATAAGGGTGAGCTCCTAGTGAGCCGTGTGATCACAAGGGCAAGTAACTGGTGCTCTCTGGTGCCCTGTGAGACCAGGTTCCTACCTGTGGTACACTGAGTGTATGAAATCCAGTTTCTACTTATGGTATATTCAAGTTACAATGGGCTTTCAGAACATCATCAGTCAAGGAGCACATATATAAGAAACCTCAAACACAAAGCATGGTGGTCACAAAACCAAAGCCATCCATATACCACACGCACACAGAAGGTACACCATCTTCACCTCTACAGGAAGACGCATGTATCAAAGACTACTGGCTAGTGCAAGCGTCTGACATAGTAAAGGACAGCCTGCAGTCACAAGGTCTGAGTCATTCCTTTAAAAATGTCTGCAGCTCTCCAGTTCCCAAAATCTTTCAAAATCCATCCTAGAGGCTGGGAAGGCAGCTATTGGTAAAGGGTGTGCCTTAAAAACATAAACGCCCGAGTTTAATCCCCAGCACCTATGCAGAAAGCCAGGTGCCGACATCCCAGCGCTGGGAGGTGCAGACTGGATCCCTGGTGCTCACTAGGTCAGCCTGACTTAATCAGTAAGCCTCTGTCTCAAAGGAACAAAACAGATGACTCCTGAAGAATGGCACCCAAGGCTGGCTTCTGGCTTCCCTACCCCAGTGTGTATATGCACACACATGAGGAGGGATGGCCTTCATATACACCTCTTATTAGGCCTTTGGAATCACTGGGTATCCTGTGTTTTCAGGTTAGCTGTGGGATAATCATAGTTAACTATTGGGGAAATGTTTTTGTCATGAATCAAGAAAGAAATCTTATAGAAAGCTCCAGGTAAGATGGGTTAGACCTCCCAGATGGAGGTAGGCACTGCCTTACACCCTCAAGGAAGACTGCAGACAGTAAATGGGCAAAGGGGAATGGGAAATGCCAGGACTCACCTTGTCTCTGGTTGTCAGGAGCCCTGGGGCCATTTCCCACGTCCCAGAATATTCTCCCTGGAGAGGAGTCTGCTTTCAGAGTCCAATCTGAGGAACAAGAAGAAAAGCAAGAACACTTAGGAAGAAGACCCATCATGCCCCAGTCTCCTGACTGAGCAGAACGTAGGGACCTGGTAGAGGTGAGGTAGGCAGGTTCACAGACAGCAAGCATCTCTACAGCCCAGGTAACCAGTAAAGAGAACCCACAGATCTGAGCCAGTCACAAGGTCAAGCCCCATCTCTGACTGAGTAACAGCTGGGAAAAACTCAGAATCGCCCCTCAGCAAGCAAGCGCTCACTGAAAGAGAAAGCTCCCTGGCACACTGAAAACAGAAGCTTCCCATCCATACCTGCCTGGAGGCTAAAGGACAGAGTCCAGGAAATCCAAAGTAGAAAGAGCAGGAGAATTCCAGATTGAAGATCTGGGGGAGAACTGGAGCTGAGAAGAGGCCTGGTCTCTTCTTGTGAGACCCTGGCTACACCCACTCACAAAACCAAGATGAGGCTCCCAAGATTTGAAATGTCAATTGGAATTTAGGCCATCAGCAGCGTTTTCCCCATTCTATAGAAAGTCAACCTCATAAACAGTTTACGGAAGAAGTAAAGGGAGATCTTCTCCTAATTACAGACAGGAGAACACCATTGCTCACATGCTGTATGTGACCTGGCCCGGATCCTGGCTTACACACATGAATGAGAAAAGACCACTAAGGAGAGTTAAGTATGAACAGGGCATGAGACAATGTTAGAAAATTGTAAGTATCACTAGGTGTAATCATGACCCTTGGGGGTATGGAGGAAAATGACAGTCATTATTAAAAAGCAAAGCAAAAGTACTGAATGATGAATTGACATTTATAAATATTATTAAATATGATGCCCTCAACAAATAAAAGTATTAACATATATAGGGATGGATGCTCTCGTGGAATAAATAGGTACTTAAAGGACGTGTCAATCAAACGTAACATGTAAACCTTACAGAGACATACTGTAAGTAGTCAGTGAAAGAAAGAACTCTGACTTGGTCTATAGATGGTGTAACTATGGAGAGAAACCCCACAAAATCAACAAAAACTCCTAAAGCAAGTTACTTTAACTGGTAGATACCAAGTTAATCATAAAATATTACTTTCCTATACACTAGCAATGAACCACTAGAATTTGTGATGAAAACTGTATACCACAATAACATCCAAACAAAGACATACTAAGTATAATTTTTCTAATTATGAGATAGATGGCTATGAGAAAAACTACAAAACCTTGCTGAAAGAAATGAAAGATCTGGGGCTGGAGAGATGGCTCAGCGGTTAAGAGCACTGACTGCTCTTCCAGAGGTAGGGAGTTCAAATCCCAGCAACCACATGGTGGCTCACAACCATCCGAAATGAGATTGGATGCCCTATTCTGGTGTGTTCGAAGACAGCGACAGTGTACTCATAAATAAAATAAATAAATAAATCTTTAAAAAAAAAGAAAGAAATGAAAGATCTAGTCTGGAGAGATGGCTCAGCAGCTAAGAGCACTGCCTGCTCCTCCAGAGGTCCTGAGTTCAATTCCCAGCAACCACATGGTGGCTCACAATTATCGTAATGGGATCCGATGCCCTCTTCTGGTGTCTGAAGACAGCTACAGTGTGCTCATAGAAATGAAAGATGCAATTAAGTGAAGACATATATCATGTAAGAAGAAGGAAACTCCACCCTTGTGCCAATTCTCTCTAACCAGGGCTACAGATACAAACACATCCCCATCAGAATCTTGGGGAATTGCTTTACAGATATTTTTAAAAATCACAAATTCATATAAAAGGACAAAGGACACAGAAGAGTTAATACAGTACTGAAGAACAAAACCAAACGCTGCCAAAGATCACAACTTCCGAAGCAGCAGTAATCAAGACCATGTAGTATTGGGGATGGGGAGCGTGGATGGGGAACAAACTTAGAAACGTACCCAGTCCCAAGTAGTCTGAACTGTCCTGATGAAGATGGCAACTCTTATGCTCAGGGCATAGTATTCTGCAATAGCCCTGTTCAAAATGACCCAGTGAAGACACAAACCAGAACTGGTCCTTGCCCTGAGGGTGCAGGGGCAGCTGGACTCACTCACAAACAGGCTGTGGCACAGTCTTCCAGAAAGGAGCCAACTCCAAAGAAATCCACACTTTGAGGTGAGGACTGAGTGTAATGTTTTCATACTGTAAAGTCAAAAATTGAAAGTCCTCAGAGAGGGAAAAATAACACTAAATACCTTTCTGAAAAAGGATGTGGAAACCTACTACCATAGAAGCCTCAATATACAAAATGTAGTTATCCTGTAACAATGAACTCCCCCCAGTAGATACCAGAGACTAATAAACTAAAAGTCCATTGCTAGGAATGGGGTACCTCTTTTGGAGTTGTTAGCCATTAAGGTCCAGAAGATCTTCCCCAAATATCACAAGCTATCGCCAATGTTCTTGGTTACCCTCCAAAGCTTGACAGTAAGACCCTATTGCCACATATTTGAGCCAAAGAACATGAAGAAATCAAGCTGGTCCTGACCTGGAAACTTCATCACTTCTGACTAGCTTTCAACTGCTAAAAGGTGCTGTGCATGCTACCAGAGTAAAAAAAAATTAGTCACCAATCAGACCTAGCTACAAGCCCTGAAAACTCCAATGATGACTGGCCTTAGCAAGATAGACAGATATGTCTACTGTCACAATAGTTGCAAAAGCATCATGGGAGTCACCAACCACTTTGGATTGGATTTAAGTGTCTCTCCACAAGATGGAATCCATACCATTATCAGCACAAGAACCAATGTAGACATTCAACAGCTCCTAGAGAAGGATCTACTAACCGCTGTACTGCTAAACAAATATAGTATTAAGCAAATCTGTAATTATTTATTGGTTTGCCCACAGATTAATGCCTCTCTCTCCATCCTCATTTGTGACGCTTCTGTTTGAATAAATGATGAAACATACAGAGACCCATATCTGGCCAAGGTGTAGAGAATAAACCTGCAGACATCTCAGCCGTAATGGAACATAAAGACCACAATACCCCAGCCAAGGCTTGGCTAGCAATAGGATGTAAGAGCCAGAGGTGGTAGTTGACTCCAGGGAAACAATGTCTTCAGGCCACAATAGGGCAACTGTACACATGAACTCACAGCAGTTACAACACCATGCACAAGACCTGTGCAAGCCCAAGCCAGAACAAATCTCCCCATAGAGATAGGAGTTTGGCACCAAATCCCTAGTATGGAGCTACCAGCAATTACTTACTGCCTGGGAGAGGAGGAGACGGTTTTCTCTAAGAGTATAATAGCCTATGGTAAGCCAATCTCAATCCAGTGCAATAGTTAAGAATATTGAATTCAGCATAGGTTAGTCTTAAAGTGTTTTAAAACAAAAAAGATATGCCTTGTCTTAGTCGGGCTTTCTATTCCTGCACAAAACATCATGACCAAGATGCAAGTTGGGGAGGAAAGGGTTTATTCAGCTTACACTTCCACACTGCTGTTCATCACCAAAGGAAGTCAGGACTGGAACTCAAGCAGGTCAGGAAGCAGGAGCTGATGCAGAGGCCATGGAGGGATGTTACTTACTGGCTTGCTTCCCCTGGCTTGCTCAGCTTGCTTTCTTATAGAACCCAGGACCACCAGCCCAGGGATGGCACCACCCACAATGGACCCTCCCCCATCGATCACGAATTGAGAAAAATGCCTTACAGCTGGATCTCATAGAGGCATTTCCTCAGCTGAAGCTCCTTTCTCTGTGATAACTCCAGCTTGTGTCAAGTTGACCCGCAAAACCAGCCAGTACATGCCACAAAGATGGGTGGGTAGAGAAGGCTGGTAGATCGGGGAAGAATTTTTGTTGGTAATTATAGTCAAAATGAGTTGTATGGATTACTCAGAGAACTAAAAAGAAAAAGATTCACGTCCAGAAATTCAGGGAGCCAACAAGCTCTGGGACATGGGGGAAATGTCCCTTCCACACAAAGTCAGAAGCCCACAACGTGTACAAAGGCCACACACACACACACATAGGCACACGAGTGTGCATACACACACTCATACCACATACACACACACCACATACACACACAAGCCTTGCCACACACCAAGACCCCAAACTTCAAAGCTGGCCCCAGTCTCCTGGTTTTTGTCATTGCATTCAATCGGGCGATTCTGTATGTTTTCCCGCAAGGCAAGCCTCCGCAAGTACACTGGTCCTAGAGACCAAGCTGTATTTCCAAATTTATGATGAGCGCAGCCAAGACTCCTGTCCTCACCAATTCAGATGTTTCTTCCTGTGGAGGATGGCTCCTATCCCTCACCCCCTACTCTCAAAGGAGAATGGGAGTGGAAAGGTGACATCTAGGTGCCCCAAGTCCAATCTCCCTGACCTCGCACTAACACAGGGGACACACCTACAGCGTCATAGCCTGGGAAGCAGGCCAGACTGACCTGCAGCTTGTCTAGGACAAGGTACTGGACCCCAAATGCCATTCTCACATGGCTCCATCCCCACCCAAGGGTCTTCACCAAAACCCTCCTCTGAGATGGGCAGAACTGTTGATTCCACTCCCAAAGACTCCATGCATCGACGATGGAGCAGCGGCAGACACCTGAACCTTGTGAGTGGCCCACGCCAGCTCTCCGGACTCTTCTCCGCCTGGAGGGATCTGCAGGAGCCGGGGTCTTCTGCACTTTCTTCACCAGAACCGCGGGAGGATCGTCCACAGGCACAGGTGACGACTGCAGGATGCGGAAGTACACCGACCGGGATGACGCGCGCGCACTTCACTACCCACGCAGCGCTAGAGATGGGGGAACTACAATACCCAGAATGCTGCGTGCTGCAGGACACCCCATGCTGACTTGGTTGGTGGTTGCAACCCGAAGCTTCGGACTACAGGAGGGGCTCCCTACCACCGCCGGACTTTTTCCTTGACTGCAGAACAACAGAGTAGGATCTTGGAGAAACAGAAAAATCAGAAAAGCCAGACTGAAGTAATCTTCGGGTACTTTTAAGCAGGCTTATTAATCAATTCTTTTAAAAAGATGTGCCAATTCAGTCTTGTTTTGTTTTTCACACGCCTGCTTTAAACTGCAGCATGTATGGATGCACTTTTAAATGCCAAAAATGCTGTGGGTATTGTTTCTTGAAAATAATTCTGAATCTTTTTTTTTTTTTTAATGATTACAAAAAGACAAGGACAAGCTAAGTTTGGAAATATTAAAAGCTGCAATGTTTTAAATTATTTTACTCATACAAGAAATATTACTTATTGGTTTTAACAAAAAGACAAAGTCTTTGCGAAAAGACTAGGAATTTGAGCAGAACTCAATTCAATTGAATTTGAATTTTCAATTGTATTTCTAGGATTTGACGTGAGTGGTATTTTCAAATTATTTCCTATTTGCTTCTTAAAGTGAAGAAACAAGTAGCAGAAGTTAGCAGGGACCAGATTCAGTCTTCCGCATAAATCAAGCTTTAAAGGACAACATGTACTAAGAAATCGATGCGGAAGCACTACACACAGACACAGTGGAGGAAATCGGTGATGCGTACAATAAATGAAGTGACCATCGAACTCCCCTGGTGAGAAAACAGAGGGTAGGCCTGAGCAGGGCCTGGAGATCAACCTCAGAGGAAGCCGGGTCCGGAAGGAACCAAGGCAGCTTCAATTCAAAGGACAGGATGAAGAAACAGAGAAATCCAGAGATGTGCAGCGGCTCCTCTTCCTTGTGCATCCACTGAACATTGACATCATATGACACAAAGCTGCGCTGTCCAGAAGGAAAGCCACAGGGAAAATGTCAGGGGAAAAAGGGGTGAGGAGCAATCCCTATTCCTATGAAGCAAGAAAGCCTTCAAGAGTTTTACATAATATCTGGAAACGGTTTCACCTCGACAGGAAGACAAGTGGACCCTCGGAGCCTTTTTTGTTTCACCTAAGAAAAAGCAAAACTGAGCCTAGAAAAGATCAAATTGTTTACAAGTAACTTTGTTTTATTTATTTATTTATTTATTTATTTTTATTTTTATTTTTTTAAAGTTCAAGCATACTTAGGATACATGCCACACTCGGTAAGGCAAAACTTGGAATGTCAAGTTTTCAATTAAAAGATGCCATGCCAGTAAAATAGGTCTATATTGATCCAATAAAGAAAAAAATAAAATCAGTAAGAATAATACTAAGAAATAAGGAGAGGGTCTGGAGAGGCAGCTACTGACAGTTAAGAGCATTTGCTAATCTTGCAGAGGACTCAAGTTCAGTTCCCAGCGTCTACAAGATGGCTCACAACTGCTTATAATTCCAGTTCCAAGGATCAGATGCCCTCTGCTGGCCTCTACAGACACTGCATGTACCTGGTGTACTTACATGCAGGCAAAACACTGGTATACATTAAATAAAAATAAATAGCGTGGGGAGATGGGCTCAGTGGGTCATGTGTACGCCATGGCACTCAAGCATGAAGATTTGGGTTTGGATGCTCAACACCTTGCTTCAGTGTTGTTGTTGTTTTGCATTTTGTGATAGGGTCTCTATATATCTCTGGCAGTCCAGGAACTCACTACGTAGCCCCCACTGGCCTCGAACTCACAGAGGTCCACCTGCCCCTGCCTCCCAAGTGCTGTGATTAAAGGCATGTGCCACCATGCAATTTGTATGACTAGAGTGGCAGAAGACACCTGATGTCAGCCTCTGACCTCCACACACATGCACATGTGCAAACACATGTGTACCCACCACACACAAACACACACAAAGATAAAGAGAGATAAAGAGACTGAGCCCAGAATGGGCCTCAGCAGTTGGGACCAGCTGATGAGCCAATTCTACCCATATATCCAAAACACTTCCAGAAGCTGTTATCTAAGAAAATCTTAGGTATTTTGGGTTGTTGTTTTTTTTTTTAATCAATCTCTTAAGACACTAAGAACTTTCTGTCTTGAAATTTCTATAGTGTCCTTCAGTTCAAAAACTGTTGCTCACAAGAGTATGGACACTGAGTAAGAAAAAAAATGAATACATGACGTCTACTGCTCTAGAGGTGCGGGTGAGACCTAGGAGAACAGAGCCAATAAATGAGGCAGACCAGAATGTCTTATGCAATAGCCAACTTATTCAGAGCATCAGCCAATCTATACTGAGAGTTAAGAAAAATCAAAGTTCTCAATGAGTTCAAGCTGTAAACAATCACAAGGATGAGCCACATGTGGGAAAAACGTGTTTTTCCACAGAAGTTAAACATTTCATTGAATAACACCAGCAAACAATAATGAATAATATGTCATCTGAAGTAAGCGCACTACTATTTGCTACACCTGGGAAGAACACGAAAATACATCCAAGAACAAATTCTGTGTTTTAAAGAAACAGGTCACAAGACTCTTGGCATTTGTTTTGTTCTTAGTTTTCTCACAGGCATTCAGAATTTTCAGATGACTCAATTTTAGGGCCTTGTGACACAGTATGTCACATGACATACTGATAGTATGACACAAGGTAGAGACGAGATTCTTCACTGTTGAACAGAAGGTCATTGATAAGCCGGGAGGGAGATGCAGTCAGGATGTGGTACCAGCGTAGGATGAGATATATCAACACGCATCCTGGTATATTCTGATAAAGATGCAGATGGATACTGAGACATGGCCATCCGGTGCGTATGGCTTAGATGCTCCCACGATGATTCCTAGCCCTGTCACCTGAAAGAATCCAGAAACAATTATAGCCCCACAGTAGTGAGCACATCTTCCCACATCTGGTTCCTACACCACTCTGTAATGTAGGAATCAGACATCCCTATACGAGATATACAAAGAATATACATTATTAGCTTAGATTACTTCATAGTACCAAAAGGTTGGAAGTGTTTATCTTAGCTAGGATTTGAATTGCTGTAAACAGACACCATGACCAAGGCAAGTCTTGCCAGAAGCCAGGACCCTCGCCCTTACCCTCACCCCCTACCTTTCCCCACCTGCAGCTTGGCAACCTCAAGATCCTGCTTGGCAGCTGCAGATAGATTCAAGGCAGTGTACCGTATCTTCTGAGGAAAGCAGGGAAACCATAATTCAAGGCAGTGTACCGTGTAGACCATGAAATGTTTCAGGGCACAGGCCATGAAGATTCTGTACTTTTCCACCACCTGGCCCTTCTTACCCCTCCCCTTGTAAAGCATACTATAAAAAGCGCTTTGCATTTGAATAGATGGCTCTTGACAAGCAATTGCTTCCTTGAGTCCTTTCTTCTCTCTTGCCCTTCTTTTTTCAGGTTGCGGTCCTCCTCGCCCCCACGAATAACTAGGACCCGCAGGTCGGGTCAAGTCTTATCAAGACAACATTTAATTGGGGCTGGCTTACAGGTTCAGAGGTTCAGTCCATTATCACCAAGGTGGGAGCATGGCAGCATCCAGGCAGGCATGGTGCAGGAGGAGCTGAGTATTCTACATCTCCATCCAAAGGCAGACAGGAAAAGACTGGCTCCCATGTGGTTAGGAGAAGGTCTCATTGCCTACCCTTACAGTGACACACTTCTTTCAACAAGGCTACACCTCCTAATAGTGCCACTCCCTAAGCCAAACATACTCAAACCACCACAATTTCTTTTCTTTTTTGTTTTGTTTTGTTTTTGTTTTGTTTTTTGTTTTTCGAGACAGGGTTTCCCTGTGCAGCCCTGGCTATCCTGGAAGTCACTCTGTAGACCAGGCTGGCCTTGAACTCAGAAATCTGCCTGCCTCTGCCTCCCAAGTGCTGGGATTAAAGGCGTGCACCACCATTGCCCGGCCCACCACAGTTTCAAAAACAAACTGATAATATTGCTCAAAAAGATCCAGGAACCAACTGAAAAATCTCACAACATCCAAGTCTGTCACAATTCGTTTTTTAAAAAAAGCATTGGGTCACCAACCAACCAGAGCTCCCAGGGTCTAAACCACCAGCCTGGGAGCACTTAGGGAGGGACCCATGGCTCCAGCTGTATATGTAAGGGAGGATGGCCCTGTCGGGCATAGGTGGGAGAAGAGATCCTTGGTCTCATGAAGGCTGGACACCCCAGTGGGTGGGAATTTGAGGGTGGGGAGGTGGGAGTGAGAGGGTAGGTGGGAGCACATCCACAGAGAAGCAAGAGGAGGGGTGATGGGATAGGGGGTTCCTGGGCGGGGGTGGAAATGGGGTAAGGCAATAACATATGAAATGTAAATAAAACATCCAATGGGGAAAAAATATATATATATATACATATATATACATACATATATGTATATATATACATATATATACATACATATATGTATATATATACATATATATACATACATATATGTATGTATATATATGCATTGGGTCATAACCCACAGTGTAAATATCCAGTGAGTCCATATTAGTGTAAATTATTAGGTAAACAAACAAATGAGAGAGGACATGCCAGTCTCCTAAGTAAAAGGATACCAAATAATGTATGTAGACATCGGAACCTGAAGACAGTGAAGCACTAGGGAGTCGAAGGCAGGAGGATCTCACACTCAAGGCCAATCTGATCCACCTAAGATCTTATCTCAAAACAGACTTTTTTCCAAGTATTTTTCTGCATTCCCTAAGATTTTATTCATTTGATGTTATGTATATGGATGTTTTTACCTGCGTGTATGTCTGTGCACCATGTGTTTATAGTGCTCATGAAGGCCAGAAACTGCTGGGCCATCTCTCCAGAACCATATATTGGTTTCTAAAAGTCAGTTTTCAGTGGGGTCAGGG